GCGGTTGCCCCCTCCTTGCTTGGGGGTCGGGCCCGTCCTGATCAAGACTAGAGGGAGGAGGCTGCCCCAGGCGCCACGTGGCCCTCCCTGAGGGGGGATCGGGCCCGAGGTAGGGCGGCGGCCGTCCCCTCCTGTGACTAGGGGTCGGGTTCCCCTGACCCCCTCTCTAGGTCGCCACGTGCGATGGGTTAGGTGGCCGCCTCCAGGCGGGCCCGTCCTGATCAAGACTAGAGGGAAGAGGCTGCCCCAGGCGCCACGTGGCCCTCCCCCGAGGGGGGATTGGGCCCGAGGTAGGGCGGCGGCCATCCCCTCCTATGACTAGGGGTCGGGCTCCCCCGACCCCCTCTAGGTCGCCACGTGCGATGGGTTAGATGGCCGTCTCCAGGCGCCCACCTACCCGCTTTTATGGCGACCTGAGTGGTTGTGCCACGCCGCATTTAATGTGGCGTGCAGTGCACTCAACTGATCTATAACAGGTCGGTGACCGGTCATATGACCGATGGGACAGCGGTTGTGTACCCTCGCCCTGTCAGTTTGTCAGGCGGTGTGCGGCGTGCTCCGTCCCACCCCATCATAATAATGAGGGGCTTCACAGCCTCTTACCCCGGTCAGAGCTGGTCCAACCACTCTGAACTGACCCGGGTTCCCGTTTCCTAGTGCGAACGAGAACCCGGAAGTCCTCATCCATTGAATGGCGAATGTCAAGGGGCGCCCTGCATGATTTGATGGGCCCCGCGCAGCAGCCGACGTGCAAATAGCTTCTGAGCTAAGGCACAAGACATGTAATTAATATAGAGAATATTTTCCCTTCTCCCTAGGTAGCACTCGCTGCATATGTGGTATCCCCTTAGAGTATAAAAGGAGGACCATACCTAGCGGGAAGGGGGATCGAACTCTGGATCCCCGAGCCAAAGCTTCTCTAACCCTAGCTTGTACATCAGAGATTCAGAGGCTTTGCAAGCACAGAAGAATCATCATACACATAGGAGTAGGGTATTACGCTTCATATCGGCCCAAACCTGTATAAATCCCTTGTCTCTCTTTTGTCCCGAAAACCTCGGATCTCACCCGCTGCCCCCGGCCGAACCAAAAAAGGGGGGCCTCACGGTTCCCTGGTGGAGGAGATCACCCTCCGACAGACGAAGTCACCACAGACGCCTCGCTGTCGACGGGTACGTCACCTACCACTGAAAGCACAAAGCCGTTAAATCCTAAAAAATTCATAACGCACGCACACGTCACCATAGGTGTCTGCTGTCGACAGGTACGTCATCTACCACTAAAAACACAAAGCCGTTAAATCCTGGAAAATTTGCTCTCATGAGTAGTCGAACCTAGGACCTAATGTAACCACTAGGTTACACGTACTTTCACAGATATTAATACTTTTTGGAAGTGATAATAAATTTCTCAGGGTGGACTAGGAAGGAGTGTATTTAGGCACTATCTATGGTTAGTAAAAGTTCCCATTAATCTTGGTGGAAATGTGAGTACAGATTAGTTGGCCGTGCACATCTCTGTGAGTATAGATAGGACGCACATACATCATATATACTTACGCCTAAGCACACCACGTGTACTTACGCCTATACGTATAGTGCACCTATTGCACTTTCTGTACTAGCGTACGCACTTTACCACTAAGAGCAAATATATAATAGTAGGCTATAAGCCAGCTAAATGCTGAGGTGGAGAAGAGAAGAGAGGAGAGAGAGGAGAAGCGGCCTGTAAACTTACAGCCGTCTTGGATACAAGAACTAAGAAATTAAGTGAGAGAGATAAGTGGGTCATGTATTAATTGTAAAGAGCTAACTATTATATGGGTAGGCTAAGAAAAGACTACAAGGAATCTTATAGCCAACAGATTGGTTGTATTATTAGCCTTGTTCTAAAAATACCCACATGTGCATGTGTTGCATCATGAGATTAAGGGTTTATTTGGTTTATAGCCAAACTCAGTTGTGCCGAATAAGTGGAAATGCCAAAAAAAGAAATGGCACCCATTTGGTTTGGATCCAAAAGAAATTTATGCTACCAAAATACTTTTAATTTTTAAACTATTTTGGTAATTCTAGAATAAACCAATTTTTTTCTAAAAATTGACCTTTCTGGAAATAAGTTACAAATTTACAAGAGGGTTTGTTTTTACGAGAATTCTATCTAGCACATACGCGTCAGGAGGGTAAGTCGCGGGCGTTTCTAAGTACGATGTGTTTTCCCTTTGTTTTTTTTTTTTGTTTTTTCCTTTTCTCCCGCACTTTGTTGCTACCGTGTTTTCCTTTTTTTTTTTCCTTTTCTTCACGCAGTTCACTGCCCTTCATGCGTAGAAGTCGGAGAAAATAATTGTTACTAGTTTTTTTTTACGTAATTAGTTTCCGATATCACGATTTATTAACATAAATTTAATACTTTCTATTAAAAATAAAAGTTATTCCCAAAATTTGAAAACTTTCTACTCGAAATTTAAAAACTTTCAACTTAAAATTGAAAACTTTCAACCTATCAACCTAGGGTTTGAAAACATTGAAAGCGTAATTTGAAACTTTCAACTCAAGATTTGAAAGTTAGAACTCAAATATTTGAAACTTTTAACTCAAGTTGGAAAACTTTCAACTAAAAATTCATCCAAGTTTTGAGTTTTGAGTTGAAAGTATTTTAAGTTTGGGTTGAGAGTTTTGAATTTTGAGATGAAATTTTTCAAAATTGAAATCTGCCATATCAAAATTTAAAACTTTCAACTCAAAATTTTAAAATCAATCGTATTTATTTTTTTATTGAAAAATATTGTAGCGTTTAGTGCTAATCGCTGCCATTAGCAATGGAACACGCGCCGATTTATCTTTCCACCGTGACGCACTTAATTTTTTTTAAGAAAAAGTGCTAGGCGCTACTGACACGGGCCGCCTGCGCGACTTACCATCGCGGCGTGTGCGCGCGAGCTAGGCTTCCCCTTGTTTTTGAAACATGTCCAAAATGTTGAATGAAAATACAATGGATAAAATATGTAATATAGTGGTCCAAATTAACCAAATGGTACCTTTGTCTTGATGCTAACTAGCACAGTTCGAATTGCTTTTATATCCTCGAAAGAAATTGAGTTCGTTAGCCAATAGATCTTCACCTTAACTCAAAGTGGAGGGACTCATGCAACTTTTCACAACCAAGTTAGGTTTATTGTGTATTTTTTGGATTTGTTTGAGTGATATGTGTGTTTGGTTGCTAGCTTTAACTGGATTTGTTTGAGATATGTCTTGACAGCTAATAAGCTTTAAGAATGACTGACAACCCATTAAGCCTCTTGCAAGCAAAAACAAACCCAAGTTGCAAGTTTGGCCTTTCCTTAGAGATGTCAAATCATATGTAGTAACAAAATACTATGGTAGCAAACCTGCTTGAGATGACACGCTTGTGATTGATTAAGCGTGACAGGCCATGATGCATGCACAACATGCCTTTGCTAATCCACCTTTGGATTCAAAAGAATTGGTTAGTTTCTCTAGCTTTTATGTGCACTTGTAACCAGGATTGATGCCACTGCAATTCTTTTCTCTCTTTATTTTTAGTTTTTTTTTCCCTTGGGGTCAGAATTAGTGATGGGTGATGATACCAGCATCTGATTTTAGCATGGACATCTGGTCTTGATTTGGCAAATCAATCACTGCATATTTTACAAAATCTCTTCCCTGACAAAAGAAAAGCAAATGGCACTTTGATCAGCATGCATTACGCATATATAGTTTTATTTGGTGACGGAATCATTTTGCAGCGTGGGCGAGTTGAGGAGTTAGTTCTTGGATTAGTTTTAAGAGGCAGGCCCAATACCAACTAGGCTAGTTGCATCAAACTCCCAAAGCTGATCTGATCTCTCTTTCTTCATCTTCTTCATCTCCAGCAACTTTACTTGAGTGAGCATGCACATCTGCTCATCCTTTCTTGTACCATGGAATTGTTAAATGAAAGTGAAGATATCATTTGAGTTTCCAAAAGAGATTGAGGATATCACTTGACACTTAGAGGGTGTCATCTCGCTTTTTCGCACATTGCGTGTTACGACTGAACTGAAAACTCTTCACCACCATCCTGAGGTACAAAGTATGCCATTGCACTCTCTCCGATTCCAAATTCAAGTAGTTTTAGAGCACTATCGGTTAGCCTAATAAGCCAAAACAAAAACCAAAATTTAAATTTCCGAACGATTTTAAGATATTTTTAACGTAATTTCTTTTTAGCGTTATCTTTTAAGTTGTTACAAACAAATATATAAAAGTTTTACCTATAAGTTAATTTTTCCTAATAAGTTTTACCTATTTGCTTCCTTCATAAAAAAAATAAGTTAATTTTTATTTCCTAATAAGTTTTTTTGGCTTTAGGGAATATAGGCAACCGATGAGACTAAGGCTAGTTCTTCCCAAATAAAAATTAATTTAGAACTTCTATGCATATTTTTTTATTATTCTTAAATGTTATCTCTCTCAGAAATAAATGCTCCATCCCCTTTAATATGGTACTAGTACAATTGAAGGGCACAAAATCATTTAAGCTAAAACGACCTGTCTTTTTTTTTCCAAAAAACGACCTATCTTTGGAATCAGATGGAGTAACTAGAACTGCACTATCCAAAAGTGCGTAGTTAGTTGCACAATATTTAAAAGGATAACTTCAACTTAATTGAAATCTTCGACATGCCCTGCCTTCCCTGATTGTTAACAAAACATTTTCCAGCAAACAGTTCCTATCGTTCTTGAGAAAAATAACACAAACACGCCCTATCTTTCTGTCTCTTTCTTTGCCAGCATATTGTGTGCATTTTTAATCGATCGAATTGCACGATGTGAAACCACGCATTGAGCCAAAATGCTGCAACTGTTATCCAAAACTATTGTCATGGATGGACTTAAAATGAAGTGGTTCACTTCTGTTATAAATAAGAAAAGGAGAAGAAACCAACTGGTCCACATTGAGTCTGCCCAAAGAAAGGGGATGCAGCATCTAGCTACAAATAAACAAACAGTGCAAAGATAATTCATAATTAATTGGATGATGAAAAGAAAGGTTTGACATTGCATTAGCATTACTGTTTAATTGGGAGTATATGCATGATTGCATTGTGCATATGAACTCAGCAAAGCAAAGCAGAGAGAGAGAGAGAGCAGGGAACCTGAGAGTTGGTAAAGGCAGAAGGCATGCTGCCCCTTGCCCTTGGGTGACCAATGACAGGCCAACATAGTGGTCTATCCGTTCGGCCACAAGCTCCATGCCAGCGACAACACACAACACACAGCACGCTTGCAATCTCTATCTCAGCCAAGGAGACCGTGGGCCGGCGCGGCGGATTTGGTGGGGTTGAGCAAGCCGATGGAGACATGTACAAGGAAGAAGAACCAACTGTTGGGACACGTCTGCCTGGGCCTGGAACCACCAGGGGCTGAAAGCTCAGGCTCAGGGAGACGCTTTGCAATGCTCCCCCATTCTGATCCTGACAGCTGCAACCTCACAAGTACCACCAAACTGTGCAATTTATAACTGAGAAACCACTATCAGAGCATACATTTCTCCTTGTCCACTCGCGAGGTGATGATCTTCGAGTGGGAGCCCGATGCACATGGCAGGTGGGCGCATTTCTTTTCTTGTAAGTAACAAGAAAAGGAGTTCCTCTCATTTCTGTTCCCAGGTAAGATGCAGCAGTGGTCAGTTTGCCAACCCTTTGATTGTCGAAGCATCCAGCTTCAGGCTAGATTTTGCAGTGTGTCTGTATGCATACATTGCTTTCAATCATGACCTATCTTGGCACGCTGACCCTCCTCTCTGTGGTTTTGTCATTACCTGCACATGGTTGTGGCGTTATGTGCACGCGGCATGCTGTTCGAGTAAAATTCAACTGATCGAACAGCAACATACAACTTGCAACTGGAATCAGAGTTGCTATGGACTGTGGATATGCCTGCAAGTGGCACCTTTTTCTTCACGCTTGCCTCCGTAATGGGGAAAACAGAGCTTCCCTTCAACTCCCCACCTTGATTCATTCTGCCAGGTACTGCAAGAGATTGATAATAAAACAGTCAACAGAATGTGAAAGATTCTTCTGAATGTGTATCAAAGCGCAAAAGAAAACTTACTGTTCTATCAGCTTGCTGAATAGCTGTATCCAAAGGTTGTCTCCCTTGATACAGCATGATTGATGTATACAGCTGGTATTGCACTCCTTTCTTCATTTAGATGTTAACCTATCAGCAAAATTGGTACAAAAAAAATGTTATCACAATGTGTTCAATTCTACCTATCCACATGTAATAAAACATTGCAATCAGGTAAACTGCTAAACTGTGTAAACAACAGCAGTTGAACAAATGTGATTTGGAATGAACACAATACTTACATGCTCCTTTCCAGCCTTCAGCAGTACGGACTTTATGTGCACTGCACCAGACATTCCGTATGTGAAGATAAGCTCATCTGACATGGCAAGATAAGCTACTTGATTCAGTTCCCACTGCCCAGCGCATTCCTACAACATGTAAAAAAGATGACCTCAAAAAATAGAGACTAGAGAGGGACATCAAATCAAAAGAGAGGAAACGTAACTGTTTATGGAACTCGCCAGGAATGAAACCATATTAGAAAGGAATTATGAAATGCCTAGGGTCAAGTAAATGAAAGTACCAAACAAGGAAAACATAAAGAAATGTTCAAACACCAGACTATTTGCCTGTTTGCAGTACAAACTGACTAGCTGAAAGGAATGAAATGGTAATACTAGGGACTTGAACAAATGGCCGGAACATCAATATGCAGCTTAATGAGTTTAACATATGATGCAAAGAACATCAACAGAAGAGAAAAAATGACCACATTGATGAGGTTACAAGATACTGGTAAAGAAATGCAGAATTAGTCACTGAAAGCTAATCGGAATTGACATGAACTAAACAAAACACCATATGATGAAGGAACCCAATTAGGCAGTGGTATGATCAGGTAGAAAAAGAAAGATAGTGGGGTTACAAATGTCCCAAAGCTTCATGCTATAGGCCATAAATATTGTAGCATCCATTGAGAAAGAGTGACAGCTCCAAGGAGTAACAACATTGGAGAAATGCCCAGGGGTCTTCCGGCTAGCTCCACAAGTTGGTGGGCTAGCCGGCCTAGCTTCAAAGCCTCACCCTTTCTATTTATTTGATATTAGGTCCTTCCCTAATATTCGTGTTTTTTTTTAGTAACAACACTGGAAGACACAATAAGACATGAGACTGAAACTCCCGATAGAATTTTTCCAAAGTCTGAAGTCTGATCAAGGTCAGTGCATGAATTTTAGGGATAACAAGTACTATACATGCTATAAAAAAAATGTAGTTTCGTTGATTCAAAAGGCACAGCAAACGTAAGTGATGAAAGGACAAGACACCACGGTAATGGGAACTACTGACCTTGCGTAATCTTAAAAATAATGCTGCTACTGTTTAAACAAAGACTAGTATCCATATTTAGAACCATCGTTCAAACATATGAAAACCCATAGTTGCAAACTACAATCTCCTCTCAAGAATATAGCAAGTTTTAGCTATGAATCTGCCCATCGCCAAAAGTCGTTATATTTTGGGACGGAGGTAATAATTAACAACAGTATTTTCTTGGTTTTACAATGTTTGTCCCTTATCTTAGGAAGTTGGCCTCAAAATTATTGCCCATCGAAACAATCAAGGTACAGTTGAGAAAAATTCATATATACCACAATTTTGCTTGGCACCAATAAATACTACAAGGAATTCCTAGTGAACATGCAGCCAATATGTTTTGACCGTTGCGCGTCGGTGGCTGTGGAGTTTGGTTAACACAAGAAAAAACCCGGGAAAGAAAGTCCGACCAGGAACTCTCATAGATTGATGGCGTACATCTGTAGCACACTCCATGTTCATGCTGCTGAGGTAAGCTACAAGTGCATACTTCCATGGAACGACAGAAAATCTCCATTATAATGGTGTGCAGAATCATAACTACAGAAGGGAGCTCCACTTTACCGTAGAAAAATTCACAGCTGATAGTTAGAATAGTGTTTTCAAGTAAAATGGAGTTGAACCACAACTAGCACACGAGGTAAATTGTCTAGTAATCATGTAATAGTGTAGAGAAATTACTAATCTCATATACAAAAAAGAGCTCCATTTTACAGTACAGTTATAAAAAAAAATCCACAACCTTTTTCTAATATTGGTGCCTCAAGGGTTCACTAGACCCCTTACAGTCATATATGCACTACAAGCAGAAAAAAGAAACAACTAAAATCAGCTACAATCTAAGTGGTAGTTATCAGATCGAATGAGCTACAATTTAAGTGGTACTTATGAGATCGAATGAGCTACTATTGTACAAGTCAGAACAGGTAAAATTGCATTATTTCCTTATTACTCATGATATATGGTCATGTAATATCATCAATCTCCAAGAGAGAATTTTTGGATGCTGACCTTGTTGAGCTTATGATAGTAGAATGATCTGAATCTTTTCCCTTAGCAGACTTCTTGATCGGCCTTTTACAGCTTTGTAGATTTTGCTGGTCTCTGATTTTCCTTAAAGTCACGACCTCATCAAGAGCTTTGTGCAATGCCTCTTTAGCAACACTATAGAGCTCAGAGGATGCCGAACCCTCTTTTGCACATTTGATTGCGTCACAATGGAGATCATTGTACATTGTGGTTGAAGGATCGTCACGACATCCTCTTAGATCAATGTAATCATCTACAGTGGCAATACTTTTTGCATGCTTTGTCCAGCGTTTCAAGATATAAGCCTTTGGCAGAGCACGCACACCTTCAATAATGAAAACACGAAGAGCATGCCGACACAAGATGCCGCAGCTCTCAAACAGGCAGCAACTACAACCCACTGTCTTTTTTTCTGGATTGAAAGAAACAGTATGTGCCTCCTCATCCCCTTCACTTACTGTGACACGATACTTGTGTAGCATGTCATCCTCAAGTCTATCTGCATGGTACCCAAAGGACTCGGCAAACTGATCCTGAAATTTTTCAAATATTGACCTGGTGAATATTGAACTTGCTTGCTTTTCAAGAGGTGATGCAGTCCTAACTGTTGCCATTTGAAATGTTGTCAGATAATCTGCCTGAGTTTCCTTTTCATAAAAATTACAAACAGCTTGTCCAAGTTGCTGAACGGCCACCCATAACTGGGTCTTGGATGAGAAGTGCTTCTCGATAACATTTTCAAGATTCTGACAGCTTTGTGGCAGTAGATTTCTGGCACAGAATACCTTCCTTGTGTATGCAGGGGCCCATTGTCTGCGAATTTCATATAGAGACTGTAATAGTTCATTATTTCTGAAGCCATATTTTCTGATGACAGAATCCCAACATGATTCAAATGATTCTTCTAATCTGCAGCAGTCAATGCACTTTCTCAGATCAGTAATGAAATGGTCTAGTTCTGGTTCTGGATACAAACTTCCTAGCTCTTCCCTGACAGTGCCCAAAATATGCTTCTCACAGAACGTACAATGAGTATCAGGTAGTATTTTGGTAGCTGCGGCAGCCATTTCTTGGTTAAACTCTAATACCAACGAGACAGGAGGGCCCACAGGCATTGCTTCAAGCCATTTTTCAAATAACCATGCAAACGATGCTTCAGAATCATCAACAATTAGTGCACAGCCAAAGACAACAGGCTGCAAATGATGATTGACGCCTGAAAATATGGCAATAGGTATATACTTGCTGTTTCTGCACAGTGTACCAAGCCTAACAACATCACCAAAATGGTAGTAAGCCATCCTAGTTTTAGCATCAGCCCAGAAAATATTGGCTGTGTGTCCATTACTGTTAAGCTGCACAGCATAGAAAAAAGCAGGATCCTCGCTTTGTGTGTTCTTGAGATATCTGAGTAAGCTTTGAGCATCCTCTGGCCCTAAATCATTATACTGGAACTCTCTAGGATGCTGGAAATCTAGACCGTTCAATAGGAGATTGCGTGTGTCAGAGAAGTTCTTTGCAATAACAAGTACCTCACCCTGTGAGCGAATACAGCGAACTCTACTTGTTGGTGCCGGGTTCAGCTCATGAGTATGCTCTAAGATGAGTTTAGAGACCGTCCAGGCATCTCTGTCTTTCCGAATTATCTCAAATAATGCATCACAGCCATCCCTGGAGGGATCCAAGGCCTGCACTCTCTTGGGATCCCCTCCATTGGTCTCTCTTCCTGAATGGTATCGGTGCCTTGAGCACACAAGCTTCAGCATCTTGAGTGACTCATCTTGCGACTTGCGGGACTGACGCACACGAGCTTCAAACCCGACACGGGTCGCGTATGAGTAGTAGAATGTCTTGGCGGCCTCAAGTGATTCAAACTCCATACCAATGTAAGGGTCGACCACCGTATCACCCTCCATGGCAATGTAGTGCACTCTGCTGGGCATCCCAACCTCATGGTTATGCTCCTTGACAAGCTTGGTGACAATCCACTTGCTATCGCCTCTGCGTAGCACCTCGAGCATGGCATTGCATCCCTCCCGGATGGAAGCAGGCCGCTTCCTCGTCTTCTTCCCCGCGACGACATGCTTCTCCTTGCTGAACCCTTCCTTGGAGCAGACAAACCTCAGCATGATGATGGACTCGTTACACTTGGACCGCCGCGACCGAGCAATGCGGACGGAGAACCCCACGCGCCCCGCGTAGGCAATGTAGAAGGTCTTGGCGGCCTCGCCGGACTCGAACTCCATCCCAACCCGGGGCTCAAGGCAGGGGTCGGAGTCGACCGGGAACAGGTCCTTGCGGACCGACTGCGACTGCGATTGCGCCTGCTCCTGCGGCGGCGGCGACGGCTGGTCGACGATCTGGACGCCGCCGTGCAGCGGCATCTGGTCGACGGCATGGACGCCCAGCGAGGCCCAGAAGTTGATGCTGTCGTCCTCCTCCTCCTCCTCGAGGTCCACCACCTGCGGCTCCATCATCCCGTCGTGCTCGTGCCCAGGCTCCTGCCCGTCGATCTCCATCCTGGAGCATGCAGATTCAACTGAACCCCCAATTTTTTTCCAAAAAAAAAAATGCCATTAGTAAGTGCTTCACCAAAGCACGCAATAAACGAAGCAAATGGGGATGAACTGGGAGGTCTAATTGGAGCGAAATGGATCGATTCGAGTTCAAATGAGTCCCAATCTACCCAATCCAGCACACGAAGTGGCGCGCAGAGGAGGGAGGGAGACGAGAAGAACGGATACCTTCAGTTCGATTCGAGCCGAGATGCTCGCCGTCGCCGGCCGGGCGCGCGAGGAGGCCTGAGAAGGCGAGGGCGGAGGTGGTCGGGGGGAAAGGAGAGGAGTCCGCCCACGCCGTGGCTGCGGGGCCCTGCTTGCCGGCCGCCGCGTGGCGAGGCGGCGGAGGCAGCGGCAGAGAAGGCTGGGGGATAGCGGAAGGAAGAAGGTAGCTGGAGTTGTGACTTGTGAGGGAGACGACTGGTTAGTGTGGCTCAGTGCTACTATTTCCAGTGGTTTCGGGGTTGTTTTTGCCAAAAAAAAAAAAAAACCCAGAAAGGAAAAGTCCTATACTTATTAAAATTTTATCTTACTGAACTTTTACTAACACTACATATCATGTTATGAGTACATTTAGATTTTATATATCTTTCATCTACTTATATTATGGTTGAGATCATTGTTTATAAGAGTTTTGTAAAAAGAAATTTAGTGCGTGTAGCAGTGCTCAAACGGAAAATATGAAAAAAGAACGTGCAATTTCGCTTTAGAAGAAGAGGAGAGTTGATCTCGTTTATTGAAGGAACCGGATTAAAAGAACTTATAACGGTATAAGGTATTTTAAAGGAAACCGGTGAAAACCTGACATTGTTACCGTGAACACCGAGCTTAAGACCAGCAGTTTATCGAGGGAAACTCATAAGACGAAGCCACGCCGACGTAAACGGTAACAAAGCCCGATCCAAAAAGAAAAGGAAAATTGGATGTCCGAAGTCTGAACTCTGAAAGTCTGAAGTCTGCCGAATTCCACTGCATGTCCGTTTCGTTTATTTCAGGCTACTTTCAGCGACACAACTATTTTACTATTGCTGCATCACCACCATACAAGCTGATCAAGAAAAATAGTACGGAGTATTAATCAATATGGGAAACTTGGCAATGGAAAATTTTCAAGCAATCTGGAATTCTGCATGCAAAAGTTGGCACCATCAAAGTTCCCCAAATAGACAGACAAGCACAAGACCTGAATGCTACAGAATTCAGAAGATTCAGTTACTTTCATAACTCATTAGAATTCAGAATCATGCGTATTTCAACCTTCAGCAGTGATGCAAATTGCAGGAGTTAAGTGTTACAAAAGCATCATGAGACATTTTTGATCTCATCAAAGACTCATCAAAGAGCAACAATGGCAGGATTCAAGTGACTTGTAACAGCCATATTATGGTGAATTTGTGACACATAATCAGCCATATTTAGTGGCTTAAATCACCCTTGATTCCTAGGAGTATCCTAGGCTTGTGCATATGTAAATCCCCACTATAAAAGGGGACATTTTGAGATTAATAAGACTTGGAGGATTCACTGTTTTTCACTGTTCATCTTTGTTCTCTAATACGTTATCAGAGCTCTACCAAGAGAGAAGAGTGAAAAGACTCACCGGCACGTGCGTGGTAAGAATGGCTCGTCATGTTCCCCTCACTGCCGACTCCTCCCTTCCCCGCAATCTCCGTGCATGCCACCTTCGTCGTCTCTTGCAGCAGCTCGAGACGATCCTTCGGGCTCCCGTGCGTCATACTCGACGTGGCAGGGGCCGTCGTGCTGGCAATGCCGGCCGTGGCCCCCCATCTCCTCCTCCTGGCTTCGCCGGACGTGGAGGAAGACGCCGCGGCAACGGCGCGGCTGCCCAAAGGAACGCCGGAGCCGGTAGCACCGACTCCAATACCATCGCCACTCGCCGAGGGTCTCCGGCGACGCCGGGCATGTGCACAACGCTGGACAGAATCCTGGTGGAGGCACCACACCATTGTGCGTCCCATGGGTGGACCGCACGGGTGCGACCGCAGCTGGACATGCCGGACGTGGTCACGGCCTTCTGCCCTCATCATGGCTAGACCCATCATCTCCGCCGTGTCATATCGTCAAATTTTCAGCCTTAAGAATAATAAGGAATCATATCCACCCGGATTTGAAAATGGAATACATGCTAGAGGAGGACCCACGAGTTTTATGGACATCTCAAAAAAATCGTTATGAACAGCATATGGCGATTATCCTCCCTGAGGCATCGCACGAGTGGAATCACTTGCATCTACAGGATTTTAAAACTATAGACGAATACAACCATGCTGTTCATAAGATATGCTCTAAACTCCGGTTTTGTAAGAATGAACCTTCTGAAGCGGAGAAAATTGAGAAGACTCTGTCTACAATGCTCCCATCAGAACGGATCATCACTCAACAATACCGTGAGAAGAATTTCACAGTCTATTCTTCACTCATTCAGACATTGAAACAGGCATAAAAGAACCATGAGCTTACTGTATGGAACTCGAACCAGCGCCGGTTGGGCACTGCACCATTGCCTGAAGTAAATGCGAATGAGAAGAAAAATGTTCCCAGCGGGAATACCCAGACTGGAAGTTCATTTGGCAAGGGCAAACGCAACAGAGCCAAAAAGCAACGTGGGAACAGCAAAAAGAGGAAAGGCAATTCTAAGCCCAATAATGATAGCGGCAGCAAAACCGCCTGCTACAGGTATGGTTGCTACAATCATATTGCTAAGAAATGCAGAACCCCTAAACATCTTGTTGATCTGTACATGAAGTCTATGGGTCATACACAGACCAACCAAAAGCATGAAGCACACTTCGCCTCTCAAGTGCTGGAGACTGGAGCTATGGACCCCATTCCTGACGAAGAGGGACCGAGCAAAACCAAGACTCCGACAAATGAAGAGGAAGACTCTTTGGACATCGATGACATGCTCGTGGAATATGCTTCCAACGACATTTATGGAGACCTTAATTAGGCGCCATATAAATTTCTATGTTTAATTTTGCATGAGTAACCATTGTAATAAAAGACATGATGTTGCTACCCCATTTATACACGTAATAATCACATATATTTATGTGTGTTTTCTATATTTTTCTTTTATTCTTATGAATTTAAGTTTCGCATTATATAGATTATTACGGGAATCAATCCGATGGAAGAAGAGATGTGCCTAGTGGACAGTTGTACCACTAACACTATACTTAGGGAAGTCAAAATTTTCCAAACTCTCACTAAGAGGGAAGGACAAGTTTTGACCATCGCGGGACGCGATGCTATGATTGTCGGTTCCGGAAGGGCCACTATCATACTTCCAATGGGTACACAAATAAATATCGAGGAGGCATTATTGTATCCCGATTCAACACGTACCCTACTAAGTTATAGAGATATCCGGAATAATGGAATTCATGTGGAAACATATGAAGAAAACAATGAGGAGTTTCTCCTCTTGACCAAAGATACTGGATATGGCAAACAAACAATTGAAAAGGTGCCTTCTCTCCCGTCTGGATTGTACTACACATACATCAAACTTGTACCACATGTTGCATATAAAGTGATTTTTCACAATGTGGATGCATTTAAAACTTGGCATGATCGCCTTGGCCATCCCGGCATCGGCATGATGAGAAAAATCATGAGCAATTCACATGGACATGGTATGAGCGACAGAAAATTCCCAAAATCATCAGATTTTGTGTGCACCTCATGTGCAACGGGGAAATTAATTTTGAGACCCTCATATCTCAAAATAAAGGCTGAGCCACTAAAGTTTCTTGAACGCATTCAAGGAGACATTTGTGGCCCTATTCAACCATTGTCTGGACCATTCAGGTATTTCATGGTTCTAATAGACGCATCCACAAGATGGTCCCATGTGTGTCTCTTATCGACACGGAACCATGCCTTTGCAAAATTGATTGCACAAGTCATCAGACTTAGAGCAAATCAACCTGAACACCATATAAAATCAATCAAATTAGACAACGCTGCAGAATTTTCTTCCAAAGCTTTCAATGATTATTGTATGGCTTTAGGAATTGAAGTCCAACATTCCGTACCGTATGTTCACACTCAGAATGGTTTAGCCAAATCTCTTATCAAGAGAATAAAACTCATTGCCAGACCATTATTGCAAAATTGTAACTTACCAACCTCATGTTGGGGTCACGCAGTGTTACACGCTGGTGACTTAATACAATTGCGCCCAACTGCATACCATACAACTTTCCCGTTGCAATTGGTTCGTGGTGATCCTCCTAATATTTCCCATCTGCGGAAATTCGGTTGCGCTGTATACGTACTGATCTCACCACCAAAGCGTACATCTATGGGCCCTCATAGGAAAATGGGGATCTACGTGGGATATTTATCCCCGTCGATTATTAGATACCTGGAGCCCCTTACAGGGGATTTACTCACGGCCCGGTACGCTGATTGTATCTTCAATGAAGAACATTTTCCGGCATTAGGGGGAGAATTCAAGTATCACATTGAATGCCCAGAAATAAATTGGGATGCCTTAGACACCCTAAAGGAAGATCCTCGTACCACAGAATCTGAACTTCAGGTTAAAAGGATCATTGATTTGCAGGTAGCTGCAAACAATTTGCCAGTCTCATTTACTTGAGTAAAAGTGTCACAAAATCATACATTCCCGCAAGGAATGTGCCGGAAAGAATAGAGGTACCAAATAAAACTATTCAATTCCCTTCCTCAAAAGAGAGTGGGAGAAGTACGGCAAATCCTCGAAAGCGCACGAGGAAACATAGGAAAGAATCCTCTGACACAGTAAATGAAACTCAACCTCAAGTTGAGAGACACCAAGTGGATTCATCAGATCCACTTCCCACATCAACAGTGCACTAAATTTATAATGATGGGACATTGGAACGCCCCGACGCGGTCATATTGGGAAATACTGAGCCGTCAACTGGGGTGCATGAAATTTCCGTAAACTATGTTGAATCTGGAGAATCATTCAACCGTAAGACTACAATTGTCCACATATACTTTGCATCATCAGTTGCAGATACCATCCAAAATGATCCAGATCCAAAATCCATAGTAGAGTGCAAGAAGCGCTCGGACTGGAACAAATGGAAGGAAGCAATTGAAGCAGAGTTAGCCTCCCTCAATAAAAGAGAGGTATTCTCACAAGTAATACCTACACCTCCAAAAACCTTCCCCGTGGGTTTCAAATGGGTTTTCATCCGGAAACGGAATGAGAACAATGAGGTGGTGAGATATAAGGCGAGGCTTGTAGCACAAGGGTTCACGCAGAGACTCGGCATTGATTTCAATGAAACATATTCTCCGGTCATGAGTGGAATTTCGTTCCGATATTTGATTTCACTGGCAATTCAAAAGCGTCTATCTATGCAGTTGATGGATGTCGTGACAGCATATTTATATGGATCACTAGAT